TCAAAAAACATCATTCTCTTTAAAGGGTTATTAACAAATAACTTCAAAAGTTTCAAGGAGTTTTCATGTGGAAGAAACTTGATGATGAAGAAAGATTACAAGTCCTCCAGATGAAACCCCAATTTCCCATGTGTGACTTCAAATGATCATAACTTGGTCAATTTTTATCACCTTGAGCCCACTCTTTTTCCACAGTGATCTTGAGGATGTGAAATTTATTCATACTTTTATGTGAAAAGTTATAAAATGGATGGAGGATGCCCTAAGGATACAAAAGATTATAGGTCATTTCATGATTTTTTGCCAACTTCAACAATTCATAACTCTCTCAATCTTTGGACATTTTGAATGGTTCAAGTTTCAAAATGTTATTCAAGAGGTTTATTTCATGCCATCTTTTTTGGTCAAGATCAAATTCTAAGAAGAAGGCCATGTTTGGATGCAAAACATTATATGTCACTTTTGAAGAAAAACTTGAAATATTTCTAAGTATGGAAAGTCAACATCTTTTTCCCAACTTTGACTCATTGCAACTTTCAGCTCAAACATCCATTTGATTCCATTATTTTCCCATTTCAAAGCTTATAATCTCATCTTTTTAAAGCATCCAGAAGCATGCCTTAAGACCCCTTGAGCTAAGAATGTCATTGTTTCAGAAGTGGTAACTTGGAGTTGAGATTTATCCGAAAGTCAGAATTTGAAATCCTTATTTTGGCTTCTAAACACAAAATTGTTGTGCATTTTTGCTTCTAAACATATTTAGTGAACTTCCAGAAGTGATTAGCATAGCAAAACGCGTGTTTTGGATGAGTTTTGACAAAAGAGAAGTCACACTTTCTTCATGTTGCAGACCCATACGAATTCCCTCCAAATTGCATCATTCACCCTTCCTTTTGATCCCATTTGCTTTTCCTATAAATACATGATCTATCCCATTCGTTTTCTTAAGCTTGAACAACCAAAATCACCCTGCCAAACTTGCTCCATAACTCACTTTTCTACAACTTCGAAATCATTGTTCAAGCTTTTTTTCAATCCATTTTTTCTATCAATTCACCTCCCTTGATCTTCCCTGAAGCTAACAGAAGAAGAATTGAGCCTTAAAATCTTCTGAACTGATCTGACCAAACCCATTTACAGAGCTCTGCAACTGAACTTCAATAGGTAGATTTCTCCATCAATTATTCCAAACTTTGTTATCATTGTGAAGCTCTCATTGTCCTGGTTCTAGTCGCAACACTTGCTTTTAACTGGAAACAGGTTTTGACCATGAAATTTCAAATCCCTTTTCCAAACTTTCCTTCCAAATTGCTGGAACTACAGTTTATATAAATTTTTCGCGAATATGTGGTTGTCTTCGTCTTGATGAGACGAAGCGAATGACATAGGTCTGAGGTTCTGATTTTGCAGTTTGAATGACCTGTGTTTCACGTTGGCGGGAGGTTAAAGATGACCAACGTGTCATCTTCAAACCAATGATGGTGTGCCATTTGTATTTTTTGAAAATCTGATTTTATATGTGATTCAGTGCTTTATTCAGTAATGACCATGATATGCACAGTGCGCCAGATCTTTTGGATTTGATTACTAATGCGTTTTGACTCTCATCGATTGGTCCACATTTTTTTTACTTTATTTTATTTTCTGATATTTATATTTAAATTGTTTTAAACTTCATAAAAAATCATAGAAAATTCATTTTAAGTCCAAATAATCTGAAAAAATTATAAAATATATTTTTGATTTTTCTCTTTCTGATTTTTATTTTTTTATAATTTTATTTTGTGTTTAGATATTTCTTTTATAAATTATCACTTTATTTGAATTGTTTTAAATGTTTAAAAATAATTTTATGCATTTTTAAATTCTAAAAAAAAGTATAGAATAATCCAATGATACTGTGACAAATATTGACCTCATTTATTTTTTATTTCTAACTTTGTTATTTTTTTTATCATTTTTAGTTTATTTTATTCATTTATTTTAATTTTAAAAATAGTTTTTGAATTTAAAAAATTACCAAAAATTTTATAAAAAGATTTGAGTTCATTTCTGATTTGTCTATGGTGTTACTAAATTTTTCTTGATTAATTTGAATATAGTTGATATTTTTCTCTTTTATTTCTATTTTTAAAACATTTAAAAAACTCTTTTTAATGCATATATTAAATGTAATACTATTTTGTGATTATTTTCTGGCTGATCTTGGGTAGAATTTTTGATCATGAACTTTGTTAACATCATTGGATCCATGGTGTTGAGTCTAACTCCATAAAAATGGATGAATAATTTTAATAATAGTTTGATTAAACTTTAATTTGAATGTGGTTTATATTCTTTCCCACCCTTCTTCATCTCATCCATTTCTTATCGCACTAAGTGTTATTGAAACATGATCTCTATATCTTGTCTCAAAACAAATAGTGCATAGATTGTTAATGACTGGCCTCAAAATAGGTGTGACTTCTATATAAGTCCACTTACGATTGCTAAATTTTGTCCCGATTCGAATAAATGATAATTTGTGGCTCAAACCTATGTTTGCAAGCCCAAGTATGTTAATTTGATCTCTTTGATTCAATAACCTTGAGATTCATTGTGTGGAGGCTTTGGTTCTACCAATCCTCTAATAGATCTACATCACATTTGGTCAACACGGATCACTTAAACATCGTTGATCATTAAATTTTACTTTTGAGGATTCCAAAATGGATGATATACTTGACAAAAAGCAAATGCAACTTGTTGTGTGGAGGCTTTGGTTCTACCAATCCTCTAATGAATTCCTAATGAAGTTTCAAGATGGTCATCCAACTAACCACTAATTACTAATAATTGACTTTATTTTGTGTTTTTATTTTATACTCTTTTATTTTATGCACCATTTACTTTAGCATTTACACTTCATGCTATTTTTTCATCTTTGCTCACTTGAGCAGTTACTTTCTTGTCATTTTTATTTTGCTCACTTGAGCTTTTTTTATTTATTTTAAGACACCTAATAATCAACATGAACCATAAAAAGCTTTAATGATACTTGGACTATTTGGTTACTATCCTTGGCATTATGGAGTTTTGGACTTCTTGGACTTAGGAATAGAAACTTTGGCCTATGTTAGAGACCTTGTGACCTTAATTGATATTTTGTCTGGAGTTCTTGAGGTTTACCTCAAGACATTGGGTTATTTGTTTGTTTTGTGTGCAGGTTATTGTGATTACATACTTTGTTTGTAATATGGAATTCACTCGTATACAATCGTTACTCTGCCCAATTTTTGTGAAGACTTAATACACTTGAAGTTTGATTCTCTCAAGATGTCTAGTATCTTTACTTGTTTGGTTTCAATCAAAGAATGAGAATTCTATCTTGACTCATAATGTCAAGTATTGGCGTCTTGTTGGTTAAATGGTTCTTATCCCTATCTTTTATCTTATGCTTTAGGATAGTCTCTTCTTCTCCTCCCATCTTCTTGAAATTCAAAACTCTTCTTCTTCCTTTTGAAAATCTTTCTTGCTTTGAAACTTGAACCATTTTTATAATAAACTTGGACCTAGGTCCATGTATTTAAAAAAAAAATATTTTCATAAATAAACTTCAATCAACTTAATAATACCTTGGCATTTTTTTGTGAGAAGACTAAAAGTCAATCAATCTCATTTCAAATCATTTTTCCACTTTGGCTTTTTACTTTAAAAACTTTTTTCAAAAGATTGGACTCTTGTCAATCCTTGTAGTGATGCAAACAACTATACTTCTGCAATATGTAGAGAAGTGAGATATTTTTCACTTGGGTGTTGAGTGAGGCATTGTTGATTTTAAAATCCGCCATATCCTCCACTTTGAGATGATGCAAATTCTCCTTTCTCATGATTGTGGGTAGTAAGTATGTTTTCTACACGGACAATGGCGATGATGTCTTGTCTCATAAAATTAACCCACACGCTTGTATTTTAAATTTTTTAAAAAGAGGAACTACGTGTACCCTGATCCCCTATTGCATGAAAGGTGGTACGTAGGCACTAAAAGTTCGCAACCGCGGCGGGTGCAAAAATCATAAGAAATATATTTCTTTTCTCCCCTCCACCATATATTTTACATACAATATTTTATATCCAAAATATACAGATTTTACAAAGAGGTTCCTGCGGAATACCGTAGATGTTTATGGTGCTAATACATTCTCTTTGCATAACCAACCCCTTACCTTGAATCTTTCCCCTCTTTTTGGGTTATTTGCTCTTTTCTCATTCCTTTGGAAATAATAAAATTCGGTGACGATTTTTATTTTGATCTGTATAAGTCTAATCAATCCAATGGCTTAATCTTAAACATTTCTTCTGCTACAGACAATTATAAACAAACATTTTATTTTCAGATTAATTGAATAAATAATGTATTTGATCTCAAATACAAATCAAATACATCAATTATAATAGTAATCAAAATGTGTATAATTTAAAATAATTTATTACATATGTTTTCATAAATTATTTTGATATTTATACACATATTAAAAAATATAAATATTTTCATATGATAAAGAGAAATTATAAAAAAATTTACAAAATTATTTCCATTAATGGTATGGAAAAATAAATTTAGATTGATAGAAAAAATAATAAATACTAGAAAAATAGTATAAATAATTTTTTAAACTTTTAAAATGATTTATAATTTAATACATAGATTTTTTTCACAGTCACTTATAATTAAAAAATAGAAGAGTATTTTATTTGAATGAAATATAATTATTTATAAGCAAAAGTCTTTGTGTCTCATTTATCTTAATAGTTAATGTGTGGTATGGCATTTACTATACCCTTACATTATTGAATTTATTGAACTATAAGTACAAGTATGACCCTTATCTGACTTGATAAAATAGCTCAAAATACTTGCTTCTTTTTCTATCAATGTCAAGGAGCCTAACCTTTACCTAACTCAAGTTTCAATTATTATCATCTTTTCACTACACTTGTCATAATAGGCTTATTCAAAGATGGGGGGAAGGGTTAGTGTTAGCAAGAAGAATGAGAAAAAATGTCCACAAAAACATGTAAAGAATTTGAAAGAGAAAGTGAGAATTCTACAAGATGAAATAAAGGAGATGGTGAGTGAGAGAGAGAAAGAGAGTAGAAAGTATGAGAGAGAGATAATGGTGTTTACTTTCAAGGAAGCAGATTGGAAACAAGAGATGAAGAGGATGAGAGAGGAAGTGAAGAGGTTGAGGGAATTGGTGAAAGAGAAGGAAGAGAAGATGAGAGAGATGGAAGAAGATGGAATTGTGGAGAAGAATTGTGAGAAGGAATGGGAACTAATGGGGACTAAGCTTTTGATTCAAGAGATGAAGGAGGAGAGAGGAAGAAGAGATGAAGCTGTTGAGAAATGGAAACAACTTTATCTTGCAATTAAGACTGAGTTGGATGATCTCATTCAAAGAACTTATGATGGTAAGCAAATCATGATCTCTTATTAATTATTGTTTTTAAGATTTGAATTGGATTAACAAAACATATAATTGATTAAGAGAGACTATAGAAACCTTGTGTGATTTGTAATTGTGTTTACTATTTATTTTTATAACTTGCTAAATAATTTATAATTTACATTAAAAATAATTTGATTTTACTTATCTTTCATACATAATTTATATATTTATATATATATGCGCTTCGATATCGCTGTTATAAATAAAAATTTCTTTTATAAATTTATCTATAATTAATATATTTAGTTTTTTTTTTAAGATTTCAAACTCGAATCGTATTGCTAACGAATTTTATGAAAGGGCACAATAATTTGTGAGTTTTTTTTTTATTATTTGCTCGAGGTTATTTATTTTTTTGGAAATATATATACAGGAGATGGTGTGTATTGGAAAACAGAGGAAAATGACATTGAAAATGAGAATCTGAAGAATGAATTGCAAGAAAAAGAAGAAAGCATGAAAGCATTAAAAGCTAAACTAGTTTCAGTGGAGAAAGAAAGGTACAAACAAGAGAGGGAATTTGACTTGTTAAGACAAAGTTTGAGGATCATGAATGGCAAGAAAAATTCAATTCAAATTAAAGAGAAGAAGCGTTTGAAAAGCAAATTGGGAAAATAAAATGATGCATAATTAATAGATTGCATGCCCAAAATTGAACAATTTGGTTGAATAGGTGTCATTGTATACTTACTTGGTTTGTATCTTACATGTAAAACTGTTTATTTTTCTTAGTTTCTTAACCCTTTTTTCTGGGGGAAAAATAAGCAAGGCAATAAATAAATAGTATGAAAAATTGAAAAGTCTTTTTCTTGGATATTTAAAAAGAAACAAAATATGATTTATAAAACATTTTTTGCTCTTTGTTTTGAGTTTGATTCACTAAGATTGTGCCCTTTCATATAGACAAATATAGATAAATAGTATATAATACCTACCAATTGCAAATGAAAATTTATTTCACTAATCTATCGAAAGACTACAAGAAGAATACAAAAATGTTCCTTAATGGATTAAAGGAATGGAGAAATAAGTTTAAATAGGTAGTAGGTAGGAGATATAAAATAGTGTCACAATTTGCTTTTTGTTCTTCACAGCATTTTATTGAATGGTTTTAGTTCATTAATCTCTTTTATAAAATATTTAATTCATTAATTTATGGGTCTCACTTCGCATACTCTCCAATGGAGAGATTTTGAAAGAAAAAAAAGTCTCATAAAATATCATAGTTGAGAAATATATTATTTTTAAGAAAATAATTAGAAGTTTTTATTTTAATGATGAAATTAATAATATTTATTAAAATGTTCTAATTAAAGTTAATGGAATTGTTTAATAAAATAAAAGTTGATAAATATAAATATAATATAAAATAATAATAATAAATATTGCATTGAAATTATAAAAAAAGATAGAGAATAAGTGAAAATGAAACCGTTTTTATGAGATAGAGAGAATGTAATATTTCTAAATAATAAATATTTGTTATCACTAATAATTTATTTTATTCATTCACTATAACTATTTACACTAGAAGTATCAAAGGTTCCAAAAATGATAGGCAGTCAATCCTACCCCAAGAACGTGAGTGGTTGATTTATATGTGAGAGAAAGAAGTCACTTGAAATCAATTTCATACACCATCAATACAAGGTTTGACCATGGATCATCTCCTTTTGTCCTTTTTTTTTTCTTTGAATAAAATAAATGTAATAAAATAGATGAAATCAAGAAAAATAATAAAAAGAAGAAGAGTGAAAAAGAGAAAATGTTAGAGAAAAATAGTGATAAAATTGTGAATAGAGATGAAAATACGTCAGGTCAGGTCAATAACATGAGTTTACAGGCTAACTTATATAAGTTCAGGTCAGGTCAAATATATTTTTAAATAGAAAAGACTCGATTTTTTTTATAAATCTTTTTTATAAATTTAGTTAAAAAGGCTAAACTATAGACCGTAAAAAAAGTCTTTTAAGTCTATCAAGTCGTCCTATTTAAATAAATATGAATAATTTTATTATTATATGGTGTTTGTATTTTAAATTAAAATACAAAAGTAAAGTTTAGAAATCTAGAAGAACTTGTGATAATACACTGAAAAACCTTACGAACAATATCATAAGTTATTTTCATAAGTTCTCTCAAATAAATAGTATCACAAAATATATGTTAATAGGTAAACTTGAATAAGTCAATGCAAATAAGTATCTAGTCTAATTAATCTTTTAATTTGTTAATATATTTTAATATTAGTTAAATTGCTTATTTGAAAATGTTCAAATAAAATAGGCTTTTATGTAGACTAATAGACCAATCAGACTTTCGAAAATATCAGACTCAGACTTAAGAACAAACCTTTGATAGGCCATAAGCCAGAAAATTTTACCTTGTATCCCTACAGATAAAATTTTTGGACGAAAATACCCTTGTATAAATAATAACACATTAAAAAAAATTCACTTTTTCCTCATTTCACTTCAAAAGATTGAGAGAACAACTCCCTCTAAACACAAACCGGAGAACGCAAGTGACTCAAACCCGGTTTTCATTCTAGCACTCTGAATAATCCATCAGTAAGTAGTATGGTTTACGCGAGAAAAAATAAAACAAACCGGATCACACAGGCATGGGTTCTCTGGTTGTCAAAATTTGTAACGGATAACGTATGGCCCTGTTATTTGGTTCTTGTTTCGTTATTTCGAATAACTCATTGATGAGTTATCCGGTTCTTGTTTCGTTATTTCGAATAACTCATTGATGAGTTATCTGATTCTAGTTAATTTAATTTATTTGTTTGTTTTCAGTGGTTCGCGGAAGAGGAGGCTCAAGCGACAATAATATGCAGCGAAGGATTAAAGAACGACAACATCGACGAGCGGTAAAAGATGGAGAGGGACATCAGCAGTCTGATGCGGGTCCACTGTAACAACTTTCTCTGGAGGACCGATTGATACGTCTCTTTTGGTGAGTTATGAGGGTCACATTGTTCGCCATTTATGATTCGGCAAGGTAAGTTAATCGCTATCATGTTATCTTGAATCATTTTTATTTGTAAGTACTTATATATTTTATGACATGTATATTATAAATTATTTTCAGGAGAGACAACTGAAGAAAAAGTTAAAGGTTGTTACACATGGCAGTAAATTGATAGGGTGGATTCTACACATGCTACCACCTATGATACAAACTTAGTTGAATAACTCTGGTCTATCCTCTCTCTAGAGAACCAGTTTGTCGAGGATAGACCAAAACCTGGTATTCTCCTTCGTAGAGAGGTGGCACCTGGAAACATCGTCATTTCATATGCCATTTGGCGAGATGACCATTATTTTAGACGATGTTTTATGTTTTCTTCACATATCGATTAGGGGTGAGTTGGTTGACCCTCAAGAAGGCTTCACTAGTAATGATGCTATTAGACTAGCTATTGATCTGATGAGTGTTCCATTGGAAGAGGAAACTGAGGAGATCCATTTTTGTCGAGGTCATTATTATAAACTAGATTGGTTGAAGAAGATATTTGTGCGTCAATGAGCTACTAGTAGATTTGAATATGAGACTAGAGCCTATTTGATGGTGTTGTTAGGTTGCACCATTCGTACTGACAAGACCTTTACTCTTGTAGAGGAAAAGTATTTATCACTTTTTATGGACTTGGATGGATGTGGTAGATATTGCTGGGGAGCAGCGACACTTGTGACACTTTATCGATATTTAAGTGAAGATTCCTTCTATACATGCAATCAGCTTGGCGGATATGCCTCTCTTCTACAAGTATAAAATATTTTATTTTAATTTTAATTTGATTTATCTTTATTTATTTATAATGATTTTTAATTGATAATATTCATGGTGTGTAACAGTGTTGGATTCACGAGTATTTTCCCACTATTAGGAGGTGAGATTTGTCTGGGATTTATGATGTAGGTAGTCCACTTCTGAGGGCGATGAAATGGAGTTACAGGTAGAGAACACAAAAGGTTGATGAGTTTAGGCATCTGTTAGATGCATTGACACCTGATGATGTCATTTGGCAGCCTTTTGCAGATCACAGACAAACTTGTCCATTTAATGATATATGTCTCTAAAAGGGTGGTCTGAAATAGTATGGGACAATTGTGCTATATTTACCTGATAGATGTTTGTATCAGTTTGGATATAAACAGTACATACCCCACCCACCTCCTGATGTAGAGTCATTTGATGTGGATGTTGATTGGGCTAGATATGTTCAGGGAGTTTTGGATGCGATTCGTGATGCCATTTTTACCACCCCGACCATATGATGTAGTTGATGAGTACTTGGCTTAGTATTATACAGTGTCACATCCTCGTTTGGTAGCACCACCATGGGATGAGGTGAGAGAGATCCCAGTTCCTGTATATGAAGAAGGACCATCATACCAGAGGTTATCATATATTTCATGTGAACTTCATCGCTACTTACAACGTCATGAGGCAGAAGAGAAGGACGATGAGTTCGCTAAGATTTTTTGGTCACTATGTGTAGCTCAGGGCGGACCACAACCTCAGGGAGGACCGATACCTTATGAGTCTGACGCATGATCTACTTTGCTTTTTTTGTTATTTTGAGACTTATGTATTATTTTGACACTTATGTTATTTTGAGACTTATGTTGTTTTGAGGCTAATGTTATTTTTAGACTTGCAATAGAATTGAAAATATAGCTTTTAGTCATTACAATCCAAAATTTAGCATGAAGTCATATGTCAATAGAATCCCAAAAAAATACATTACAATTAAAGTCTAATACATTATGGCACTGCAGGTGTAAGGCGTTGCAAATTTTGTAACCGTCCAACAAATCCTACCATCCAAGAAGTCGCATCTTTTGTGTGAAATTTCTTCCAATCCAATGTGATGGATGGAAACGAAAAGCCTTCATTCATGTTTACCTATTTAGAAAATTAATATTAAACGAAAAGTACGTAAGTAACTTACAACAAGTCATGGAACGCAAAATTAATAAGAAACGAATAATTATCTATACCCAATGATTTTCGTCTACATATCCAATTGGTGAAGCGACAAGCAATAGTAAGTATTTTTATAGGTTGTATCATATCGTCTCCTCAGGGATTAGTGCTACTGAATTATCATTCAACAAGTCTCGCATTCTTGAATTCGATTTTGAATGGTTTTAAAGTAAATACGAAAATTAAAAGTTATCAACATAAAAAGAATTTCATTCTTCGAATATTAAAGAACTCTCAAGTTTGTATTTCATCTACTCTATAAAATACTTAAACTTACTACCCAGTTGCACTTAACCTAAACTACTCTTTAATATCATTACGTATCACTCACATAGAGGCATCTATAATCCAGAGTGGGATATCAACTATATCGCTCTATATTGACGATCTCTCAGCGCAACACAAAACAACACAGATGCATTAAGAGTCGATACATAAGTGATTACTAAGCCTAAATATATCTCTAGAATCTAAGCCCAATAGATATTCATCCTAAGTCCGAACTCGAACCGTCCATTTCTGCAACAACTCAAATCCAAACACTTAGCAAGCTAAAAAGGATAAACATCAATATAGATTTGTAAATAAAGTTTCATACGAAACCATGAGAAATATATATA